CTTTCCCTCCCCACATGTATTCAGTGGCTCTAATGGTCACTCAGAGTTCACGCCAGGTGCCCACAGTGACAACAAAATGGGCATCTGTCCACCCGGGAAAATGCAGGGAAGAGAAGGCACAACCGGGCAGCTCTCTTGACCTCCAGGGACCCACAGCACCCAGTCTTTTGCCACTTCAGCCACCACTTCCTCATATCTCCAGGACAAACACTGTTTTCTGACTCTCAGGAATTGACCCGTATTTCTCTTGTTTGTTTCTCAGAATTGTTAGGAGCTCATTATTTACAATATTATTTCTCTCACTTCTTTGGTTTGGATTGGGAAGGAGGTAAAAGAAAGGACGGTGGAGAGGTGTTTTTATCTACCTTACGTGTTGGCAGTAAAGGTACACTGACTACAGGCATTCCAACACAAAACAGAGATTAGGGCATACTGTCTAAGTCATAATGACAACAGAAGCATGGAAAGTAATAATACAAGGAGCAAATCTGATAATGGAGAAAAGAAGCTGGAAGTGATCTTAATTTTTTACCTTTCCCTGTGGTGACCCAATGGATACTATTTGTTGTTGCTACAATCAATATGTAAAGGGGTAAACTTGAATTTTTAATGGATTAAAACAGAAATGATTAACTCTGAAGGAAGCAATTAGGGCAAAGTCCTTCCCATTTAATGCCATCCTATTATATTTGAGCTTGCATTTAATATGAGGATATATTATTTTTATTTAAAAATTAAAATATAGGATTTGGGGACATTTATTTTCATCACAAATTTATGAAGCTTGAACATACCAATTACACTAATGATTATAGGTGCCTAGAATCACAGCCATTTCATTAGAAACTCTTCCAGGTTTACGACCTTTATTAGATTTCAACTGACCTAGAGAAATGCAGCAAAAATAGGATATGACTTCATCTATTTTCCTGTCCCCCAAGAATGCCCCACATTCTTTTTCCACTTTTTATTTCCAACATTTTAAAATATTTATATAAGTAAATGAATAGGATAATAAAGTGAATCCTCAGATACCTATCTTCTGGTTTAAACAATGATTAACATTTTACTGTATTTTCTCACCTATTTTGTTTTGTTTTGGCTGAGGTATTTTAAAGTAAATGACAGAAAAATGACATTTTACCTCCAAATCTTTATGTATGCCTCTCTTTTAAAAACTCATATTTCTTACATAAGGACAATGCTATTGCCATTCCTAACAAAATTCACAGTAATGCCTCAATTTTATCTTATTCTCTGTGCATATTCAAAATTCTCCAGCTATCTCTAAAACATCTAACTTTATTTTATCTTTAAGTGTCCCTCAAAGGGGATAGTCATGCCAAAATTCCTTCTCCTCGATTCTCTTGGGATCTGGGGCACATAGACATGCCCAGTGTGTCCCTCAAGTCACAGGTCTGGGACTCAAACCACTTAGTCAGCTATGTGGTGTTGGAGAGAGAAACCAGTCCAGACCTGAGAGATAAGCCAGAATGGAAGAATGCAGAAAGGAATTGAAAGCAACTCCATTCCCAGACGGAAAGTAACAGGGACTGCATGGTCAACCAGATGGAGCTCCAGGCATGGGCCGTGTCTCAAGATGTTGGCCGGCATGTCACAAGCCAAGATATCGTCCAAATACTAAGTTAATGATAGCTATCAGTCTGGTACCAGGAATATAGCCTACAAAGAATGTCCTGTATATTGTACACTGTTCTCTAATGCTAAACTCACTCACTGCTTATCTGATATAATTTGAAATACACGGACTCTGCTCTGGCACAGTTTTGCTTCTGCTCCAAAAGAGCTTTAGCTCCCTGCTTTAACCTTTTCTTTGTCTCTTTTCTCAGTCCTTCATGACACCCTACCTTCAAGCCCTGAGTTTCTCACAACGTGGGATCCTGCTGCCTCAACCACCACATCACCTGAGTGCCCCCAAAAAACATCTTTCATAAGTTCAAACAAGGGCCTAAAAATGATTACATATTTCAGTAATCAAGTATTATATTCCAAGTCATTCTCTCTCTTTTTAAATCATCTTTATTGAGATATAATTTACATACAAAATAACTGCACATATTTAATGTATACAATTTACCTGGTTCAAACATAAGCATATAACCACGAAGCCTTCACCATAGTCAAGGCCATAAGCACATTCGTCACCTCCAGAAGCTTCCTCATGCCCCCTTTTTTTGCGTGGTATGAACAGAGAGAGTGAAGTCTCCCTTAGTGAAATGCTTTACAGAGCACTGTGCAGTGTTCTTATTGTAGGCACTATCTTTCTTTCTGCTTAGGCTTTAATAAAACTGGAAAGGCAATTCTGACAGGCTAAAGGTTAAAGAATCTGCACATGCAATTGTGGATAACAGCTGTTAACTTTTTTAATTATTAATTTTATTTCATTTATTCATTCATTTCTTTTTTAATTTAACCAGAGAGAGACAGAGGTTGAGAGTGAGAGAGAGAGGAAGTGAGAAAGCAAGCCACCAGATTCAGGACTCGAGCCATGTGGGAGTGTCCAGTGCTTTAACCACCACACCACCTGCTGGTCCCCAACAACTGTTAACTTATAAAGGCAGAAAAAGAAAGGGGGAAAGCAGCTGTAAAGAGTCTTACAATGACATGGAAACAAATCTAGAAAAGAGAAACCGAAAAGAAAATGATTTAGATAGCTTAGGGCTTATGGATCGTGTTCTAAGATTCTGAATGATGTGATTCCATGAAGTACAGTATGCAGACTGGGTATTGCTGGTGCAGATAAGAGTGCACAGTTACTGAACACAGCAGCTTTCAAGATAACCAAGAAGAAAGACTGTTCATTTTTTGACTGTTTCACTCTGGCAATGGGGTTTCACTCATCTATAGATCTGCATCTATAGAACTGACACTGCATAACTAAAACTTGATACCCATTGAACAACTCCCCTTTTCTCCCTCCTCTTGCCCCTGCAACCACCATTCTATTTCTTGCATCTCTTTTCATCTAGAATAGTCATTTCCTAGTCCTTTTTATTTTCTTGACATTGACTTGTTGGGGAGAAAAACGAGAGAGAGAGTTTGTTTTTCTGCAGAATATCGTTTTGATTTTTCTTATTGCTTTCTCATGGTGTTATTTCATTTGGTCCTTTCCTCCCCTGAGCTTCTTATACACTAGAAATTAGATCTGAAGACTCCACCAGATTCTAAGTTGACATTATGGACAAAACTACTTTCTAATGCATCACATCAAAAAGCACGTCGTGGCAGCTACATGAATTGCCAGTGCAACCTAACTTCCCCAATGCACACATACGCTTTCCTCTGGTAGCCGGAATGATGGCACCCTCTGAATACCTTCAATTACCATAACATCTATTAAGGATCATTATCTAAGTAGATAAATTCATTAGGATTTGAAAAACGGATAATTTTCTCATCTTTCCACATTTACCAACTGGAACAATTCCTTCATCAATTCAGTCTCTTTGGTATTCCTGAAATGAAGTTCACCCAGGAAAAACAGAATGAATGCTTTATTCTTGTACTTTAATCATCTGTTTTTCCAGTAAGATATGTGTCTTAGTCCATTTGGGTAAGAGAAACAAAATCCCATTGGCTGGGTAATTTACAAATAACAAAACTTATTTCTCACAGTTCTGGAAGCTGGGAAGTCTAAGATCAAGGCACCGGCAGGTTTGGCGTCTGAGAGGGCTCTCGGGCTCATAGAGAGCGCCTTCTCTCTGTGCCTATGTGGTGGGAGCATGGAGAGCAGCTCCCCCCAACTTCTTTCATAAGGGCACTAAGGCTATTCATGAGAGCACAGCCCTGCGACTTAACCACTTCCCCAAACTGCCACTCCTCAATGTTATCTTGGGCATTAGGTTTCAACCTGAAACTTGGGAGGATCCAAACATTCCCTCCATAGCAGTGTGTCTGCACTAGCTACCTCCAATGATGATAAATGAAATCTCTTCTTTCTGCCACAAACACACATGCACACAAAAGTAAATATTCTATGTGTTTGTTTAATTTGTCAGAGGATGCCTGTGCTCACCAGAGAAAGATGGCGGGGGAGCAGAAAGCACCACCCCACTGGGGAGTGGTCATCCCCTTCCATATCTCCCTTCTTTCAATGTTTGGAGTATGCACATACAAGTACTTGGTGTGTTTTCCAAGCCACTGAGTCTGGAATTCAAACCACTGGATTCAGCCAGCCCAACTACCATGCCATGGACTGGCCTAAATCACTGTAGTCATTCCTTTCTGATGCTAGCGCGGGCCCATACTTGACCAGTGGGAGCCCCCTTCAGTTCTTTTCCAGACACCCTGAATGTAACTGTCCTCAGCTTTGATTAAATGGGTACCTGTGAAACTATCCATGGCTGCTGGAAGCCTGAAAAAAGAAATCAGGAGAGGAAACCAGCAGTTAGCGTAATGGCTATGTCGCTGGATTCCCACGTAGTCGACTGTGGTTCACGTCCCGGACCCGGTGGCTTAAAACTCACACCAGGCACGTGTGCGTACGTGCCCAAGATCCCGAGAGGAGAATGGAGGAGAAGGGATTGCGGCGTGACCATCCCCCCTGGGGGGTGATTTCTCCCTTTCTGTCTCTATGTCTGTCTGTCTGGCGAGTGCACGCGCCCTATAGCGAAAACCTCTCCAAAAAAAAAGAAATCAGGAGAGAAATGGATTCAGAATAAAACCTCTCCAAAAAAAAAAAGAAATCAGGAGAGAAGTGGATTCAGAAATACCTTCCAATGTAAAAAGAAAAACAACTTGTGACACTGGAGGTAGGAAGGGAGAAAAACACCCAAAATCCCAAATAAATATCACAGGAATGAGGAAGAAATGGGTACAAGTAGACCAAAAACCAAACATAAAATAAGCCTAGGACCATTTTTACCATATGTATAAGAAACTCAGGAGCAGTTGCTTTTATGCTATATTTTGACATTTATACTTATTCTATATACACCCCCAACAAAAGGGAAAAGGAGGACAGAGGACAAGGGAGAGGTGGAAAGAGAAAGAAACGCAGATAGGGACAGAGAGGAGAGAGAGAGAAAAAGAGAGAGGAGAAAGGAAGAGAAAATGAGAAGGAGAGAGTTTGACTTGGTTCTTCCAAAAATTCTCAGGTATAAGAACAATTACCACCACATTCATCTATCATTCTACTCCAGCCCTAAGTTTCACCTCTGAGAATTACCTTGTCACTTACTTCAACTTCACATCGGACTCCTGATTCATTCCTTAATTTTAAAATGGCCTTTTATGCCTTTTCTAGTTTTCATTAATTATGACATTAAGGATTATTGCTTCCCTTTGAATGGAATGAAAATTTAAAATATTATGCCATGTTCCTTGGAACATTGTCTCATTTTGCTAATGTTTTGGTAATTCCCACAAGCCAAAGCAATGACTATTGTTACAAAGGTCAGAACCTATGTAACAGTACCATAGGCAGTCTCACTCAAATGTAATAAAGACACACAGTTAAGCCATCAACTAACTCTAGTTATTTGAGTATAAAAATGAAGTTTGATTACAAGATTTAAAAGCAAATTACCCATAATAAAGTTGGCACTGGTAAAATAATTGAACTAAGGGTAACTAAGGGTCAGAAATGATGTTATGTTCAAGGGTGGGGTGAAGATGACAATAATGCGGAATATTCATTCATCACATTAGTTCCTAAGGCAAAAGAAAGGTTAAAAGTCTAATATTATCTCATACCACCACCTCCAAAAAGGATCAAAATAGCCTAATGACAATATCTGCATAGAGACTTTCTATTTCGTAGTAGAAAGCCTTATAATATCTTATAAAAGAAATGAAATCTAAGAATTCAGCACAGTTACAAAGATGAGGTAAGGGCACACCTGTCTGTGAAGTAGCGATCATTTCAGAGGCAGAAACAGGACGTGGGGATACAGAATTTTCTTTTGCTACTGTAATTCAGACTTGATTTGCTTCCATTATAGATGTTTCTTTAATCTGATGAGTATGAGAGATCAAAAAAATGAAAATATGCAGTTACAAGGAACTTGGTTTATTAAAATGAGGCATACTGACATACTGGAGTGGTACTCTTGTATTATCGCATGTTCCTTTCCTTGAAATGATGATCAGATTAACAAATGAAGCTGAAAACATGATGCATAGGTAATAACAATGTGTTTGCTGTTAAAGTTGACTTTGATGATAAAGATAATACTAGCTCATATTACTGAGAGCTTTTATTTTGCCAGGCTTATTTTACTAAGTACTTGAAAGCCATCCTATAAAGTAGATGCTACTCTTACCCTTTTGACTGATAGTGAAATTGAGGTACAGAGAAGTTAAGTAACTTTTCCAAGGACACAGATCTAACGAGGGACAAAGCAGGATTCAAATCTAGGCTTTCCAAAGCTTGGACTCTTAATCACTAAGTTTATCATAATTACACTTATTCAATGCCATGTATTCAGCATTCATTCATTCATCAAGCAATTACATATAAAGTGGCTTCTGTGGACCACACAATTGAGCCAGGCATTGTATTTAAATGCAGAGAAAAATAATAGCAGAACACAGCCCTTGAAGTGGAATATAATGAATGTGTTCTATTTTGACAGACTTGTCCTCAGGACAACCTATCTGATCTTTTTTTCTTTTAAGTATGTTCTGCTCCTAAGATCTCAACCAGTTCCATCATACCTCCAAAGAGTAACCGTTTCTTTACAATAGACCCAAGGAAGAATCCACTAGGCCCCTATTTAATCCCAGCATACACAGGGTGTTGCCGAAAGGTAAAGGAAGAAGAAATAAGCAACCTGCTCTGCCCTGCTCTAGAGCTGGTGCAGGGGAAGTGGTAAGGTAATTACCAGGAGCTGAGTAGTATACTCCCTACAGCTTCTCTCACTGCTCTCAAACTCTTCTCTCTGGAGTAAAAATCAGAAAACAAACTCATTGAATTTAAGTGATTTATTAAAGATCACCCAATTGTTAAATGGCGAAGATTGGATTTGAATTTAGAAATACTTACGCACCTGGTGATGATATTTTTTTTCCACCACATCACATGCCTCAAAACTTTGGGGATCAGACAATAGAGTACTGGAATTGACTTGTACCACCTACAAAGAGCTGGTTTATGTTCCTTCCCAATTCCATGTTCAGCGACATCACATCAGCAGCTTGAAGTCAGCCATAGAAGGGAATATTTATATCACAGAAGTTAGCAGATGCCACAGAGAGGGGATTTTTATGTCCAGAGAACCAGTTGTTGAAAATTTATTTACTTACCAAACGGTGGAATCTGGTAAAATGGAGTACAGGAACCTGAAGGTCAGAAGTGACTTCTAGCTGGTCTTCACGGTGGAACCAGTAAGAATTCAGTTAACAGGAGGGCTGACCAGGTAAATAATTAAATGTGCTAGTCTCAAAGGACTTTAAACCATGGTTTGGCAAAATTTCCTATAAATGGCCAAATGGTAAACATTGTAGGGTGTGTGGGCCACATACTCTTCTCTGTTTTGTTTAACAAACTTTTATAAATGTTAAAATTGTTCTTAGCTCAAAAGCTATAAAAACAGGCTGCAGCCTGGATACAGCTGACAACCATTAATTTGCTGACCTCTGTTATCAACTAGCACCAAAAAGATAGAAAGAAAGAGACTACTTTCATAGTTCTTAGACAACGTGCTCCTTACCATTGGAAAAACTATTTTAATTAACTGCCTTGAGTATGGAATACTGAAAGAGCACCTGCCTATCCCTTAAGGGGCATAATCAAATGACAATGGACTAATACCAAACTGCCTTTTGGAGAAGGGCATGTATTCTTTTTTATTTTCTTTTCTATTTTTAAAGTATTTTGCTATAGGGTACATGTGTTCATCAGAGACAGAGAGAGGGAAAGTGAAAAAGCAAGCCTCCAGGTCCAGGACTTGAAGTGTGGTTGACATCGTGGGAGTTCAGCACCTTAACCACCACACCACCTGCTGACCCCAGGGCATATGTTCTTAGTTGTGGGGCTTTTATTTAGTATAGCAGAGTATGTAGCTTCGGGATCAGAGCTGAATTCCTCAGGGTGATAGGGCAGCACTGAGCTTTCTCTGCCTTCCCATCATGCAGTCCTCAGCTTGCTTTGTCTATAAATACTGACCAATTCTTGAAATGTAGCACGCAATTACTTCTCTGCTCAGCTCCTACCTTGCAAAAAGGACATATTATATACTATTTCTGAAATCCAAATAATCAATACAGAGGAGTAAAAGAAATAGAAAAAATATTCACCTCTATTCTAGAGCATTTTTATTTCATCCCTTACCACTCCTCCCCTCTTCCTGGGGTAACTAATATGTGGGAAATACACTAGCCTTCACTGAACATTGGAATTCTCTTTTTCATGAAATGTAGTGTTGATAGAAAGATAGGCATGAGGATCTAGTTTCATTGGATCCAGAGTATGTGAAGGTGAAGGAAGAGACAAGATGCCAGCCAATCAAGCTGCTACTGAGCTTCTTCAAAGATTATAATTATCTTGGGAGCTAGTAGTCCCTGCTCTTCCTGAAGCATCCCATGGTAAGGACTCAACCAGACAATGGGTTTAGAGGAGAACAAAGGGGGCACATGGACAGGATAAATAGGCATGCATAAGTTGTTCGGCTTTGAGAAATATAGTAGAGAGAGGATACTCTAGGGTATGACTGATTCCTAATTTGGTTCTATTACCAAGTGCCAGACTGGATGCATTAAAATTCCATTGGGAGACAAAAAATAGGCTTCATCCAAGAAAAGCCTGATGTGATTGGTCAGTAGTCAGATGGATGGATTCATGTTTTTAAAACATTATTCAGGCAATTGTGCACAAGAGTAAAGGGGAAGCTGACCTCGAAAATGCCCTTGTAGGAAAAAGAGCTAGTTCTCAGAGCATGGCCTATGGTGGTCTATCAAGGGCACAGGAGATGTTTCAGTAGATCTCAAAGAAAAACTTTTAAAAATATATGACCCAGTCTCTTTGGCATGGTCAGTAGCATACTGAATCGCAGTGCTGGAAGCCAGATGGCTGACAAGGGCTCAAATCCCTGGCTACTCCACCTAAAGTATGCTGGGTATGTACACATATGCCCAAGACCCTGATGAGTTGGAGGGCAGTGAAGGGGGACTGAGCATGATGAGACTATGTCCAAGATGCTTCTCTCTTCCCCTCTCTCACATACATGTGCACACACTCCCAATCATGAATAAAATAAACTTAAGACATTTAAACATCTTGTTTGTTTATATTTTATAAATTTCAACTGTAATTTATATATGATCCTCCCACAATTTCTCTATATTATTCAGAAAAATTCCTTTCTTAAAGGAGGTCCATGAATTGTAAAACGTGTTTGATCACTTACTCTTGGTCTCTATAAACATATTTTTCATTATTATAGGGTTTTATCATATGTATTAAATTTATATTTTATTAGTTTTCATTATGTAATTTTAAATCTTCACCATAAAATAAGTAAGTCAAAGGCTTAAGAATAGATTATTGAATGCACAAGAGGTTGAAAACATTAATAACATAAATACTTCAGCTCAAAATAATTTTTCGAACATTAAAGTGAAGAGCTTACTTTATTTTATTTTTATTAATTTTTTTTCTTTTTTGAAGAGGTTTTTGCTATAGGGCACATGTGCTCGCCAGACAGAGAGAGACCAAGAGATAGAAAGTGACAAATCACCCCCCAGGGGGGATGGCCACGCTGCAATTCCTTCTCCTCCATTCTCCTCTCGGGATCTTGGGCACGCACACACACGTGCCCAGTGTGAGTTTAAGCCACCGGGTCTGGGACTCGAACCACAGTCGACTACGTGGGAGTCCAGCAACATAGCCATTACGCTAACTGCTGGTCCCAAGAGCTTATTTTCAAATTATCTGTGAATGTGGTGATTCTGTGCAATTCAATAAAAAAGAAAACATGGAAAAGAAATACAACCATGAATCACTGATAATTGAATTTGATTAGATCACTAATGTAGTTTTTCTTTTTCTTTTTCTTTTTTTTTTGAGAGTTTTTTTTTTAGGGGGCACATGGACAGGATAAATAGGCATGCATAAGTTGTTTGGCTTTGAGAAATATAGTAGAGAGAGGATACTCTAGGGTATGACTGATTCCTAATTTGGTTCTATTACCAAGTGCCAGACTGGATGCATTAAAATTCCATTGGGAGACAAAAAATAGGCTTCATCCAAGAAAAGCCTGATGTGATTGGTCAGTAGTCAGATGGATGGATCCATGTTTTTAAAACATTATTCAGGCAATTGTGCACAAGAGTAAAGGGGAAGCTGACCTCGAAAATGCCCTTGTAGGAAAAAGAGCTAGTTCTCAGAGCATGGCCTATGGTGGTCTATCAAGGGCACAGGAGATGTTTCAGTAGATCTCAAAGAAAAACTTTTAAAAATATATGACCCAGTCTCTTTGGCATGGTCAGTAGCATACTGAATCGCAGTGCTGGAAGCCAGATGGCTGACAAGGGCTCAAATCCCTGGCTACTCCACCTAAAGTATGCTGGGTATGTACACATATGCCCAAGACCCTGATGAGTTGGAGGGCAGTGAAGGGGGACTGAGCATGATGAGACTATGTCCAAGATGCTTCTCTCTTCCCCTCTCTCACATACATGTGCACACACTCCCAATCATGAATAAAATAAACTTAAGACATTTAAACATCTTGTTTGTTTATATTTTATAAATTTCAACTGTAATTTATATATGATCCTCCCACAATTTCTCTATATTATTCAGAAAAATTCCTTTCTTAAAGGAGGTCCATGAATTGTAAAACGTGTTTGATCACTTACTCTTGGTCTCTATAAACATATTTTTCATTATTATAGGGTTTTATCATATGTATTAAATTTATATTTTATTAGTTTTCATTATGTAATTTTATATCTTCATAAAATAAGTAAGTCAAAGGCTTAAGAATAGATTATTGAATGCACAAGAGGTTGAAAACATTAATAACATAAATACTTCAGCTCAAAATAATTTTTCGAACATTAAAGTGAAGAGCTTACTTTATTTTATTTTTATTAATTTTTTTTCTTTTTTGAAGAGGTTTTTGCTATAGGGCACATGTGCTCGCCAGACAGAGAGAGACCAAGAGATAGAAAGTGACAAATCACCCCCCAGGGGGGATGGCCACGCCGCAATTCCTTCTCCTCC